CCGCGGCCCGCTTGCGGGTTGGGCGAGGGGCGCCCGGCGCGGGTCAGACGCTGCTGGGAGGCAGGGGTGGGGGCTGGGCTGTCCCTTTGATCCTCGTGGGGTGCCCCCGGGGGGCGGATGTGGAGCTGGGGGTTTGGGGAGCAGAGCTCTCGGAGCCGGCAGCAGCGCGCGGGACAGTGCGGGTCCCGGGGCCCTCTCCGGGGTTGCCGGGGGCCGCGTACTTGCAGCGGGTTCCAAGTTCCTGCTCCACGTGGGCCGTGACCTCCCCTGTGGAGGAGGCCGCGGCGGCCCCTTGCGTGCAGCGCACAGTAGCTCCCGGGGAGCGTTACCGGTGGTCGGGGCCTTCAGGTTTTCCCTCCTCCACAGTGGAAGGAGGGATTGCCACGGCCTGCGAAGGGTCAGGCCAGCCCCCCTCCGCGCCATAAAGAACAAGTGGGCGGCTGGCAGCCCCGCCAGACTGGGCCACCTGCCGTTTGCCTGCCCCTCCTTTTCTGACTGGTAGAAGATGCTTTTGTTTCCCGGCGCTTTGATGGCTCCCTCTCCTGTGCTTGGTAGCCTCATGAAAGGAAAGCACGGGACACCTGCCCTGTGTTGCATGCCGGCGGGGTGCTAGCTAACCAGTGTGTGGCCTGTCCTTGCTCTGAAATGGGGTGGGCGACCATGAGGGGGGTGAAGCGGCCCCCTGACACTTAGGTGTCTGTGGACTTTGCCATCCCCGGGCATGAGCGGGGAGTGGTGATAGCTCTGGACAGCCTGGGGTTCTGGTTTCCAGGCCTCCCGGCAGGGCAGCTGGAGGGTGATGCCCAGTGTGTACTGATGTTGCCTGGGACCTGTACCTTCAGGGCGTGAAGTAGTGGAAAGCAGATAACATGTCTGGGGACACGTGTTTGCTGTCGCGGGCTGTGTCCCTTGCCTGCTCTTTAGAAAATCCAAAGCCTGTGTAGTCTGCCCCTGGTGGGCAGGGAGGGCTCGTGCCTTGCTCCCTGGGCTTCTGGGCACAGGCTCCAGGACTTGCCTCTCTCTTCCTTTGTTAATTCAGCACACACTGCACAGCATCTGCTGAGGGCCTGGGCCTGGGCGGAGGAGGGCTGAGCCCCAGGCCTGCCCACCCCCCCGTGGTGGCACATGCCGCAGCCCTTACAGCGATGTCACCCAGCTGCCTTACTGAGCTGGGCAGTTCCTGGGGCCTCGGAGGATTGATAGCCCTGACAGAGAAGTGAGGAGCAGTGGTCTGAGTAGGTGACTGACCTGTGCAGACACTTGGGGGACAGGAGTTACCCCCAGGCTGCCCCTGCCCTGAGCATGGAGGCCAGTGATGGGGAAAGCCCCAGACTGGGGAAGAGCTTGCAGCTAAGGCTCCGGCGGCCCCACTGAGGTGGGACAAAGGGGCTTTCGGTTCAGGCTGCCAGAGAGGGTGCTGGGCCACTGTGCGTGTAGCAGGGGGTGTCACCCTCCCCCCACCCAGCGCTCGCAGTCTGGGACTGTGGTACGGACCCCACCCACCAGGCCACTGGGCATGGGCAGGGATGAATTTTCTGCATCGTCTCATCTCGAGAGGAGACGGACTGGGGCTGGCGTCCGAGCCGCTCCTAGAGGGATGTGCTGTCGGGTTCCTCGCTCTGGCCGCGTAGGGCTGCGGGGGGTGTGTAGATGGAGGTGATCCCGGGAACCATCCCCTGGGGGCACTCACTCAGCTGTCCCACTGGACCTCACCGTAGCTGCCCTGGGGTCTGGGAGGGCCGGCATATCGGGGTGTCTTTGTGGAGAGCCCCACCTTCGGACACTGTCCAGGCAGGAAGTTGAGGCCTCACGGAGTTAGACCTGACGGGACCGAGCAGAAGGTGTTCTCAGAAGGCGCGGTGACAGGAGGAGCAGGGGTGTGAGTGTCCGCTCAGGGCAGCGGCCGCGGGCACCCGCAGCTTGGCCCTCGCTGTCTGGCGGCTCACGGCCTCCCTGGGCGAGGAGACGCCACTTGCGCGCGCCCCTTGTGCACGCACAAGGGAGGGGTCCCTGTCTCCGGACTCTGGGCTCCCCTATCCGCGGGAGCTCGGACACCCCTGTGGGCGGTGGGCCCCAGCCCAGCCCCCCTGCAGGTCCTGCTCCCCGGCTTGGCCGCCGGCCTGCGTCAGGCCGAGTGCTGGGTGCGCCCCTGCGTGCTGTATAGAGGAGGCCCCCTGGGTCCGCTCCGGGTAACCACGCTGGACGGGCACAGCGCGGCAGCTTTTTGCACATTCACAGAGCTGTACAGCTGTTACTCCTGTAGTTCCAGAACATTCTTAGTGCTCCAAAACAAAGTTTTGTGCCTGGTAATAGTCACTCCCCATTCCTGCGCCCAGCCCCTGGCACCTACACACCCACTTTTTGTGCATTTTATATTAAACAGCTTTGTAGACTTAATTCACATCACACAGTTTGTTTGTGTTTTTTAACATTCTGTATACATATAAAACTGGGGTACAAGCCAGA